AGTACAGGCACTCAAACTACGACAGTTACTCAAATTAGTAGCCCAATAAGCATTCTAATAGGCACTCTTTAACTAGTATCAACACGTACACTACAAGTGGCACTCTAATTCTTATTTGTTACAAGTTTTCCAATCGAGACTACAACACTTATGCTAATTGAAAGAAGCACTCGAGCTTGTATTATAGAATACACTCAGCTAGCAAGATAACAAGCACTCCAAATGGCACTGGAACAGATACTCCAACTTGCACTCTTATTAGGCACTTAAGCAGGCATTCTTAAACAGATGTTCCAACTTGCATTCATTGAAGCACTTCAAATAAGGACTCCATATACTCTATCTGGCACTTCCACTTGCACTAAAGCATGCACTCTGACTGGCTTTCTGATAGATACTCCGATAAGTACGTCCAATAGACCCCACAACATGCACTTCAATAAATACTTTCGATAATATACATTTTAAACACTGTAAACCTTCTCTTCCACTGTCATTCTGTTTCTGGAATTTCTGTATGCACTCTAAGTATACACTCCAAGAGAAACGCTCACATACACACAACTTGTTGGGGTCTGACTTCTTGTGATTCAGACTCCTAGAGTGACGGACTTGTAAAGGGATCTTAGGCACTCCAACAAGTACATTAACAAGCACTCCAACTGGGAATCCCACTCCATTATGCACTTAAACACTCACAGAAACAAACACACCTCTGTCATACAAATACACTTACAAGCATTTCAGGAGGTACTCCAAAAAGTAATCCAAAATAACAATCTAAGAAACACTCTAAAAGGCACTTATCAAGCACTCCAGAAACTCTTTAACAGTAAACAGGAATTCCAAGAGGTACTTCAAGAAGCTATCCAACAGACACACTCCATCAGAGACTCCAACGAGGCACTCTAATAGGCACTCCAACGAGGCACAGTAACAACAGCAATGCCTCCTTCGGTACAAATGTGATTGTATTCACATTTGAATATCATAACCAGACGGACCAATCGACGACTGGGGAGTTAGCATGACAAGAACACAAATAATGCACTTGTTGTGTTTGTCATGTGTATTTGTTGGCAAAATCTGGTGAGGAAGGGGGGGGGGGGGTTGACAGGCGCAGTATGTAGCTGTCAATAGAATAAGTTATTTTCATTATACAGTCTGACAACAGTAAATAATACAAGTGATTGGGTTTGTATGATGACATTGTCGTGGAGGGGTAAAATGTATCGTGCATTATGCAACATAACCTCCCCCCCCCCCGACCGGATGGTGCCCCCTGATTGGACTGCAAAAGGAAAATAATATTGCCTGAAAAAGCATCTTGCTGTTATGTTCAGTCGCAATTATGTTTATTTAATTTTTTCTTACATAAAATTCACTTTGTCTTCAAAAATGGACATTTTTCTTTTTTGGTGGATGAGGGGGGGGGAGAGGCTTTCTTTCTCCTCAAATGGTGTCGTTAATCACGTTTACAAGTGATTACATGCAAGCTTATGTGAGCTACCTCTTTCCCCTCTTTCTAATCAATATATAAAACACAGGTATACTTAAATTCTTAAAATAATGTGGTATTAAATTATTTTTATGTGTGTACTCATATGTCCTTATTATTGTTATTGATTGCTGGCTTCTTCATATTCTTAGTCATTATTCTTATTCCTTTATTCTTAATTATATATTCTTAGTCATATTCTTAGTCATATTCTTAGTCATTATTCTTAGTCTTGTCTTCCTTGTCGTGTTTAATTAGACAACTAAATATTCATGTGGCAGGTGAGAGGGAGAGAGAGAGAGAGAGAGAGAGAGAGAGACAGGAGAGAGAGAGAGAGAGAGAGAGAGAGAGAGAGAGAGAGAGAGAGAGAGAGAGAGAGAGAGAGAGAGAGAGAGAGAGAGAGAGAGAGAGAGAGAGAGAGAGACAGAGAGAGAGAGAGACAGAGAGAGAGAGAGACAGAGAGAGAGAGAGCCCCCCTGCTCACACATCAAGGAAAACAGAAGACAATGACATAATTCACCCATTATTTCCCCCCCCCCCAAAAAAAAAAAAAAACTTTAACCACAGCAAGTTGTGCTGAAGGTTATAAGTAATAGCATCAGACGGAACCCAATTATTCTCTTAAACTTTGGTCTGGGGAAGTCTAAGACCGGGCTCACAGCACTTAGTTTTCAGATGCCTTGAAAAGAAATATCAAAAGGCCGCTGGAGACTGCTTGAACTTAGAAATTAAGCCTCTTGTGGGTAATGAAACCTGTCCAAGTCCATTATTGTTTGACCAATCAAGTTAAGCAAGTTTCTCGAAGCGTATTGGGTTAATTACAGGGGAGGGAGTAATTAGTCGAGTGAAAGACCTTGTTGGTTTGGAATCGGGGAGATTCTGAGGGGACTATGAGCCACGGGGCTGATATATCAGGCGTAGACAATTTATATATATATATATATATATATATATATATATATATATATATATATATATATATATATATATATATATATATATATATATATATATATATATATATATATATATATTTGTATCATATGTTTAGCACGTGGTTAATTCTACTCTTAATTCTACTTCCTGAGGGGAAGAAACAGGGTTTCTAGAGATAAACTCAGCCCATTTTCAACATCTGACACTCCTTAAAAAACAAATATAATTGATCCTTCCTTAAAAAAGAAACTTTTCGAATATTAGCAACACACCAAACCTCTCGACGCTCAGAAAATAATATTACTAAGTTAAAATATTGATTTAATCCCCACGCAATTCTGACGGCTTGGAAGATTGCGAGAGAAAAACAAATTGACGTGTAGACAGATTGGGCAGAGGAGGAGAATACGACTTCTAGCAGTACAAGGAGCAAGGACAGTAGTAAAGTAGGGAGGTTGAGTTTACTTCGAATCTCAGATGATTTACCCAATGACCAAATTTGCCATATTGATGCTAAAATTCCTGGATATCCCCTCAGGAGCCAGATTCACGAAGCAGTTACGTAAGTACTTAAGAACCTGTACATCTTTTCTCAATCTTTGGCGGCTTTGTTTACAATTATTAAACAGTTAATGAGCTCCGAAGCACCAGGAGGCTGTTTATAACAATAACAACAGTTGATTGGGAAGTTCTCGTGCTTATAAACTGTTTAATAAATGTAACCAAAGCCGTCAAAGATTGAGGAAAGATGTACAGGTTCGTAAGTACTTGCGTATCTGCTTTGTGAATCTGGCCACAGGAAGATGAGATGCCTGTAGAGTATGTGTATACACACTTTGAGGTCCAGGAATACTTACAGTATTCTTGTAAGAATACTGTTCTCCTGTTCTTGTGGAAAACAAGAACATGCTTGTTCTGTTCTCCTTCCGCGTTTTCTTTCCAGATTTCTTGCAAATTTTCTCCAGGAAATTTCCGTCTTACATTGCAATTTCAAGTTATTCTTGGCCACTCGGTTTTTATCTCTGATCCATAACAAACTATGGGAACTGGAGGGCTTGAAAACCTGATTGCATGTTGCAGACATTGGTTAAAGCATATAAATAGCTAATCACTTATCGTGGATAGGGTGATTAGCCCCCTAATCACCCTATCCACCTTATCGTAGATAGGGTGGTTCATTCACTAGGATCTTCGGAGCCTTGGTTTAAGCATTTTGACACGTGATGAATCTACTGAATCTGTTTTGTAGTCTTCGATATCCCAAAGCTTAATGTGTGTGTGTGTGTGTGTGTGTGTGTGTGTGTGTGTGTGTGTGTGTGTGTGTGTGTGTGTGTGTGTGTGTGTGTGTGTGTGTGTGTGTGTGTTTACTCACCTATTTGTGCTTGCTGGGGTTGAGGTTTGGCTCTTTGGTCCCGCCTCTGAACTGTCAATCAACTGGTATACAGATTCCTGAGCCTACTGGGCTCCATAAAATTTACATTTAAAACTGTGTATGGAGTCAGCCTCAACCACATTACTACCTAATGCATTCCATTTGTTAACTACTCTGACACTGAAAAAATTCTTCTTGCTAATGTCTCTGTGGCTCATGTGGGTACTCAGTTTCCACCTGTGTCCCCTTGTTCGTGTTCCACCCGTGCTAAAGAGTTTGTCTATGGCCACCCGACCAATTCCTCTGAGAATTTTGTAGGTGGATATCATGTCTACCTTTACTCTTCTGTTTTCCAGAGACGTGAGGTTCAGCTCCCTCCCTGGAAACACAAACCGAAACTGTCTCTATTTTCCGCTTGTTACAACTTGTAATAATGTTGTTACATCTTGGCTTAACGTGTTTATGACGTATTAGAACGTTGTTACAACTTGCTATATTGGTTGTTATAATTGGTTAGGAGGTGTTAAAACTTGTTCGAACGTTGTACCAACGTCGTAGTTTCGGTGTGTGTTTGGCGGGCTTAGCCTTTCCTCGTAGCTTATACCTCTCAGTTCCGGGACGAGTCTGGTGTTAGAACTAATCTAAGTTTGCTGTATACACATCATGAACATTTTCCTGTGTACAGCTCACAGGCGAATAATATCTCTTTGGCGTTTTTCATATTTCCTGAGTTTACATTCAAGCCATAAACTGTAATGAATAAAAACACTGCAATTTGCAACGAAGCAATATAAAAATAAAATGCATGTTCTAGTTCCCCCTATTATTGCATATTTTCGCACATCACACATTTGGTAATTGATTTTGGCTTGTAATTTTAAGTTTTGATTTGTTGTTTGAACTTGAATAACGGCTCGTTAATGCTTTGCCGTAAACTCTTTGAATGTACTTCATAAAAATTTCCACCACACTTTTAAGGTTTATTAATTCAGTTTTGGGGGCTTTTAGCTTCATATCCTGCAATAATTTCCCGCATTTTGTTCACCTATCATAATATTTTTATTCATACCAATCATTTTTATTTACCACTGGGCATGGAGATTTAGTTTTAACTCACGTTTTGCTGTGTTTTTTAATTTTTTTAACATATTTTTTTCCCCCCGTTCTCTTGCCTGGTTGTGGGTCGGCCAGCAGGCGTAGCTTCAGGCGAGCGTTGGGTGTGGGCCGACCAGCGATCTGAGCGACAGGTTGATCCATCCAACCGCCCTTCCTCGCTCCCTCCATTGGCTCGTACAGCTCCTGCTGGAAGGTCTTCCAGCCTAGCCCCATCCGCATCCTCCCTACACACGATACCTGCAGCTCTGAGATCTTCCTCCTTCAGTGTAGCCAGAGACCTGCCTCTACAGGAACCTCTCAGCTTCCGTCCGCTGGCTATCGATATCTCAACATTGCCTCTGGAGAGCCCAGGGCATAGTGACTCCTTGGACGGTCTCGAACACCCTCCTCCGGTGTCTTCGGTGTTGAGAGATGATCTGGCACAAGATCTGAGCGCAGGCCTTCAGATCTCCGGCTCCGGCTTCGGCTTCAGCAAGACCATGAAGGTCTCTGAACTTGGGCGGGGGACACCATCTCCTTTGAGACAATCCAGGGTAAGTTCGTATACTATGTTACGTTATCCAATGTTTATATCTTACGTCTTAATTCACTAAATAAATATAATATATATATATAGGTCTTACGTTTCATTTCGAAACTAAACAAAAAGTCTTGCTTTGAATTCAGGCCTACTAAACTTTTTTAACTTAAGATCAGGAACGATAAGGAGATGAAAACATGAAATTCGTGTCCCTTTTCTTTCAATTATATAGTTTTAGTTCATGTAAATAAAATGACAATTTTCACCGAGTTGCAGATTAATATTCGGCTTCCAGCATTTTCACAAGATCGGAAAAAACTATTGTGTATTATTATAAGAAAAGAAAAACATTAAAACTCTTCGATAAAGTTAATTTATTTAATAATTAATGACAATCAGTGACGAAAGTGCATTTTTTTGTCAGGACATATGTTTAAAAAATGCGATAAATATTTTATATGACAAAAGCACTATTTAATTTAGCATTAATATTTTATTTCTTAGAGAATCGTTTACATATTCAATCTAAAGATGAGTGAAGATCAGGAAATAAGTTAATGATATAATGATAAATAATACTTCATGATATTTAAAAAAAAAATGGTACCATGCAAAGAAATTATACATAACTAAAGAGCATTTTATAGTCCAAGAAATAGATTTACTTCGATTTAAAGCTTTTTAACTAAAGGAATCAAGAAATATCAAGGAATCAAGGAATAATTAAATTTCCTCACTCAGCTCGCCCCTGCAAGCACATCTAGACACACGCACGTACACACACACAAACACACACACACACACACACACACACACACACACACACGCACACACACACACACACACACACACACACACACACACACACACACACACACACACACACTAACAGCCTAGGCTAACATCAGGCTAACATCAGAACAGCCTTCAAGAACCTGTGTAAGGAATCATTCAGAACCTTGTATATCATATATGTAAGACCAATCCTGGAGTATGCGGCCCCCAGCATGGAGCCCGAACCTTGTCAAGCACAAGGCGAAGCTTGAAAAAGTTCAGAGGTATGCCACTAAACTAGTCCCAGAACTAAGAGGCATGAGTTAGTCGTTTCAGTCTCCGTGGTGTAGTGGTAAGACACTCGCCTGGCGTTCCGCGAGCGCTATGTCATGGGTTCGTATCCTGGCCGGGGAGGATTTACTGGGCGCAATTCCTTAACTGTAGCCTCTGTTTAACGCAACAGTAAAATGTGTACTTGGATGAAAAAACGATTCTTCGCGGCAGGGGATCGTATTCCAGGGACCTGCCCGAAACGCTACGCGTACTAGTGGCTGTACAAGAATGTAACAACTCTTGTATATATCTCAAAAAAAAAAAAAAAAAAAAAGTTACGAGGAAAGGCTGCGGGAAATGCAGCTCACGACACTGGAAGACAGAAGAGGAAGGGGAGACATGATTACTACCTACAAAATCCTCAGGGGAATTGACAGGGTAGATAAAGATTAACTGTTTAACACTGGTGGAACGCGAACAAGGGGGCACAGGTGGAAACCGAGTACCCAAATGAGCCACAGGGACGTTAGAAAGAACTTTTTCAGTGTCAGAGTAGTTAACAGGTGGAATGATGTGGTGGAGGCTGACTCCATACACAGATTCAAATGTAGATATGATAGAGCCCAGTAAGCTCAGGAATCTGCACACCAGTTGATTGACAGTTGAGAGGTGGGACCAAAGAGCCAAAGCACAACCCCCGCAAGCACAAATAGGTGAGTACAAATAGGTGAGTATACACACACACACACAACACACACACACACACACACACACACACACACACACACACACACACACACACACACACACACACACACACACACTAAAATGGAATTGAATTACAAATTCTACGATCAGGTGACAAATATTAAGAAAGAAAGAGAAGGATGGGTGGACTGCATTTTCTTGGATTGTCGGAAAGCCTTTGATACAGTACCGCATAAGAGGCTGGTACATAAGCTGGAGAGACAGGCAGGTGTAGCTGGTAAGGTGCTCCAGTGGATAAGAGAGTACCTAAACAATAGGAAGCAGAGAGTTACGGTGAGGGGTGAGACCTCAGATTGGCGTGAAGTCACCAGTGGATTCCTACAGGGCTCTGTGCTCGGTCCTATCTTGTTTCTGATATATGTAAATGATCTCCCAGAGGGTATAGATTCATTTCTCTTCATGTTTGCTGACGATGCCAAAATTATGAGAAGGATTAAGACAGAGGAGGACTGCTGGAGGTTTCAAGAAACCATGGATAAGCTGAAGGAATGGTCGAACAAATAGTTGTTAGAGTTTAACCCAAGCAAATGAAATGTAATGAAGATAGGTGTAGTGATCAGGAAGCCAGATACAAGGTATCATCTGGGAGATGAAATTCTTCAAGAGTCAGAGAGAGAAAAAGACTTGGGGGTTGATATCACGCCAGACCTGTCCCCTACAGCCCATATCAAGAGGATAACATCAGCGGCATATGCCAGGCTGGCCAACATAAGAACGGTATTCAGAAACTTATGTAAGGAATCATTCAGAATTTTGAATATCACATATGTCAGGCCAATCCTGGAGTATGCAGCTCCAGCATGGAGTCCATATTTAGTCAAGGATAAGACTAAACTGGAAAAGGTTCAAAGGTTTGCCACCAGACTAGTACCCGAGCTGAGAGGTATGAGCTACGAGGAGAGACTTCGGGAATTAAACCTGACTTCGCCATTTTAAACTAAAATTAAACCCCAGACGTACGTCCAAATTAATTTTATATTGAATTTCCAATATATATATATATATATATATATATATATATATATATATATATATATATATATATATATATATATATATATATATATATATATATATATATTCTAACACTCCAGTTAGAAGATTGTGAAGAAGTATTATTATCTATGTAAGCTGTTCAATCATTAATTAATACATGAACATGGTAATAATATACCTGAATTATTCATTGATCTCTCAGCACAACAATCCAAGATCTGAAAATTTAATTGATCACTGAAATATATCTTTATGACATTATCTACGCTTGATTTTCGCCTTAACTTCATTCATTTCCACATTATTTAATTTATTATGTATTTTTCATTATCTTTACTATAATTTTGGTCCGATTCGGTAAGCACCTTTAGGTCCAAAGAAAATCGTTCACATAAATTTAGGAATATGTATGTGTAACTTATATATATATACATACCCACATATACACAAACATACATAGTTGCAAAGAATGCCTGTATTCTCCTTGCATGCGTAACATAGAGACCCCAGTATGTTTACATACATTTACTGTCAACAGCATAAAACATTCATATTCAACTATTTGCAGTTTTAGGGATGATCCAGCCACGAGTGGCAAATGTTTGCATAGTTACACCCTTGACAGTCTCCAACGTTAACCTTTATATGAAACAAAACTGTCCGTATAAGCATTTTGCAGCTTCGTAACACAGCATCATATAAGCCTGTCATGCTGTGATTCCACGCTCCAAAGGCTTCATGTTGAAGTCATGCATTTACAATCTCTAATGCAAAGCTCAAAGAAATTTTACTTAGGCCATGAGGGCTCAGAACAAAAACACTGTCAAGGCAAAAGTGGGTAATTTTCAATCTCTGATTCAATGTGATTCTAATGATGTTTTCTCTGCAGATCAATAGCAAGGAAGCTGTCGTCTTATCTCCAAGCATCTCCGAGGTTCCGCTCCAGGCCTCCGCCTCCTTCAGAGACGGGGTAACGAGAGGTCAAATCACCTTTCCATCGCCTGTTGGAGTGCGGTCGTTCAAACAGCAATCGTCGGGACGATCAGTGACATTCCCGCAGAAAGTAGTCGACGTGGATGACACCAGAATCAGGTAAAGAATCAGAATCAGAGTGAACAAGGGTTCACTCAAATCAGAGTGAATCAGAGTTCATGAATCAGAGTTCAATGCCACACTGATGTAGATGGTGATACGGTTGTGTTACAAGTGGTAATATTGGTTTAGTTTGGTGGTGAGGGCTTAAGACCATCGACCTCTGAAGGGTTGTTAAGCCCACCACAACAGCTTACAGAGCAGCATACAAGCAACCATACCTCAGTCTTGGTCATGGACGAGGGGCTAAAGTAAACTTTCAGTGTACATAAGTGTACAGTGTACGTAAGCAGGGTACACCTCTCGGTGTAGATATTCCTCTTGCATTGAGCCACTTGAAGTGCATATAGAGATTTTTTATTTTTTTGGTAAATTTTATACAAGTTGTATTTAACAAATCTAATTAACATACACGATTGGGTAATGTAAAAAAAATTATCATTTAAGATTTTAACAAAATATGAAATAACCAAGTGTTTTGATGTGCTTCAATTTGATAGGAATACAAAAAAGAGAGAATAGGATATATATATAGCGTTTTTAAGCTAATACGGAAATTCTTCAGTTCCCCAAGCCCGACCTAGCGTCAGGCTTGACTGGTGATAACCTTGTCCAACAGCAGCATGCAATTGATCGTCAGAACGGTCTTGGACACAATAATAATTTCACATTCCGTAAGAAATAACCGATATCTTACGTGTGTTCTCCTCATTACTGAAGCACATGTGTAAATAGTCCAAATGAACCTCCCAAGAAACCTTATTTTTCTCCCTGTTTTAAAAATCTGGACATTCTCTCTACGTCGCTTACTACGTTGCAGGCAACAAACTAAACTTCTAGAGACTAGTTTGGCTTGGTGATGGCCTTTTGGCCTACCAATTTCTGGAAGATTATTAAGACCTACCAAATTCTCGAGGTTTATTAAGGCCTATCAGTCTCTAAAAGTACTATCAATACTCTAATGACACACACACACACATATATATATATATATATATATATATATATATATATATATATATATATATATATATATATATATATATATATATATGAACTTCAATTCCACTAACAACAATTTCTGTTCCAGAAGCAGTCGTCTCCTGTCGGAGGCTAAGCATCAGCGCCTACCCAACACACCTTCAATTTCAAGTGCCACTCCAGTATCTACTCACACAAATATTCAGGGCGACTTACCCTTGCTGAGAGTTGGCAGTGTTGAAGGAACGAATATCTTCAAGGTTCTTGAAGCACTGCAGAAAGAATCCACACATGTAAGCAACAAGGCCTTCAATCCTTCAATCTTTCAAAGGCAGAAGCAGATAGCAAACGATAACACCGTTCTGTCATCATCCAGTGATCCATTTATCCTCTCGAAGCAAATTGAAAGTCTTAATCCGAGTGCAGATCAAAATCCGATCAATGCAGTAAATCCCCCACAGCTCGGAGGGCTGCTGACATCCGCTGACTCTTCTGTCATTTTCCCGGTCAAGATTTCGCTTCCCAAAGCAGATCTTCGACCAAGATCAAGTTCCCTGGAGACCGCGACGACCTTCAAGCTCGACAAATCTACGCTAGCACGTAAACCGGAACTTTCAAAGTTTAAATCTTTCGCCTTGTTCTTCAAGAAGCCCTCGGGTCTGAAGAAGGAGCGACGGGCATCGCCTCATGCCTGGGTTTGGCCTGACAAAACGACTAACATCCGCTTCCCTGACCTCTCCAGTGAGAGATCTACGTTATCTGTTTAAGTCCAAATACAGGAAATTCGAACTCAGATATTCAGTAAAATGTTTGTGTACAGTATTGTGTTCTCTTGGATAATACTTCTTACACAATCGAAATTTGATATTGATAGAATTTTTAGAATATATCCGTGAGAATGTTTATGCAATGCTGAAACTAATTTATGAAACACTGTAGTCAAAATGTAGAACTGAAACTCATATAAAAGAAAAACAATTAATTGTGAGTTGATTGCATTTATTTTGGCATTATGGAACCATCTTATAATTGGTTCTTCTGTCCAAAAATTAGTAAAAAAATTAAAAAATAAATCAGGGTTCTTTTTAAGGTTTTGAAGAATAACACCTATAATTAGAATAATCATAAATTAAATTTATTTTTAAGATATTTCTTTCTATTTTTTTTTTCACTTAACTAGCTTAAATATCTGCTTTCTCTGTGGGGTCAAAGGTGTTTAACTTTGAGATTATCGACGAGTTATTTAGCTAATGTTGAAGAACACTCAGCAAAACCATTCTAGGTAATAAGATCTATGTATCTTCAAATTTTTAATTAGCCCTTGCAAATACTTTCTCTGTCTCTCTCCTTCTCTCTTTCTCCCTTCGCGCCCCCCCCCCTCCAAACCACTTGGACTTGACGGTAAAGCGACGGTCTGGCGTCATGCAGGTCGGCGTTCAATCCCCGACCGTCCAAGTGGTTGGGCATCATCCCTTCCCCCCGTCCCATCCCATATCCTTATCCTGACCCCTTCCAAGTGCTATATAGTCACGATGGCTTGGCGCTTTCTCCTGATTGTTGGTTTCCTTCCACCCCCCCACCCCACCCTCTCTCTCTCTCTCTCTCTCTCTCTCTCTCTCTCTCTCTCTCTCTCATCTCTCTCTATCTCTCTCTCTCTCTCTCTCCTCTCTGTCTCTTCTCTCATCTCTCTCTTCTCTCTCTCTCTCTCTCCTCTCTCTCTCTCTCTCTCTCCTCTCCTCTCTCTCTCCCTCTCTCTCTCTCTCTCTCTCCTCTCTCCCTCTCTCTCCCTCTCCCCTTTCCCCTCATCTCCCCCTTTTTTCTCCCTCCCTTTTTCTTTTTCTCTCCCTCTTTTTCTCCCCCCCCCCCCCCCCCCTCTCCCTTTCTGTTTCTCTCGTACTTATAACAATTATACCTATAAATGATATTTTATAGTTTTGTTCATGATTGCGCTATTATATCCTATATTAAGACATGTTACTGTTTGTATATGAGTGAGCGAGTGAGGTGTAAGCTCTATGTACATGATTGTTGTTAATTATTAAATCTTGATAAAATATTTTATTAACGAGAAATAATGTTTTTAAAAATTTCTGCATAATCACTCAATATTTCTTTAAGGTATTTGTTTGCAACGAAATTACAAACATATTGTTTGTTTTAACAACAAAAATCTGGTAGAGAGTTTATCTGTTTTAATTTATTAGATGTATCATTAATGTATTGTACTTACCAAAACAAGAAAATAAAGTTTAGTTGCAATATTGGATTGTTATTACCCTGTCCCAAGATCAAGATAACCACAAGATAACCCATACGATCCTCTCTCTCTCTTATAATAACATCTCCACTTACAAGGATGAGACATAATAAGATGATAACAGCTTTTCCTATTTGCTGAGTGGCTTATGTATCGCTGGTTCATCTCACTGTTTTGATGCTGCGAGGCTCAATACCTGCCTCTACCTACTGTTTCTTTGATGCTTCAACCTCTATCTTCATGACGGCTTCACCTCCCCCTTGGCCAATTCTTCCTGTGAGTAATAGCTTGCTGTTTGGCTTATGGCCTGTCATTAACAGCAGACCTTCACTACAGCTTCCTGATCAACCAACACGTATATTTTATTCATATATATATATATATATATATATATATATATATATATATATATATATATATATATATATATATATTGCCCAATTAAAACTAAAACCAAAACCTATATAAGGTTGACATTGTATGCAAATGTACAGAGAAAAGTTCCACAGCCCCATTAGAAAGGATTTTTAGGTATCCCAAAGCCACCAATGGAGTGTCTATGTTCTTTTGTCCTATCTCCCCCCCCCCCCTTCTTTTTTATTGTTTTCTGTTTGCTGTATTTGATATTCATAAAAATTTCAAGTTACAATTTGGTGACTACAATGAAAGGCAAAAGGTTGTGAATCTCTTGGAGCTTCTAGGTTTCCGGACAGGATCCGAGGACACCACAGGAGTTTCCTCCTCTGGATCGCCACTATGAGGCGCTGAAATAGGAAACTGGCAGCTTTTTGGTCTCTGGTTGTGTCAATGAGCCTAGAACCCAATTCTTTCAAAATGTTCCTAGCACCCTTTTCCCAGTGGGCGGCCAAGTTTCCCAGATGCTATGTGTACTGATTGCTCTGGTGTTGACCTTAAAGTCTAGCAACATCTGGGTGGGTATATATACCCATACATATATATATAAATATACCCATATATATTAATGGTATATATACAACTATACAAGTGTTTACTCACTAACCAGCAAGAATACTTTGGTCCTGGACAAGAACATGCTCTCAGTGTATATATAACAGTGTATATATTCAGTGTATATCCATGTATATGTTACGACGTTGCAGCTGCTTTTCTTCTCCTTTGATTTTTACTGCTTTCCTGTAATTCTCTTATATATATATATATATATATATATATATATATATATATATATATATATATATATATATATATATATATATAAAGATGAAAAAACAATATGAGAGAAAACTAACAGAAAAACGCTTTCTGAAATAGTGAATTAAAAGGATTGATGACACTACATTTTGATTCTTATCTTAGCTGATAGCAAACGTTGTTTGATGAAAAAATGTATTGTATTTATCAACAGTTGTCATACATAAATAGTTGTCATTCATCCATTGTTGTTAGTCACCTTGAGTTGTCAGAATATTTTGATGATTTAATCTTTTTTATATGTAACTTGAGATATATGCAAAATGAATACAAGCTTTAATCAATTTAAATGTGACTTAAACATCATCGTATAAAGAAACTGAAAGTATACATAGATATAGAATTGGGGAATTTATGTGCTTGCAGTAATGGGAGATATACATGTTTACAGTAATAAATATATATAAAGAACAAATGGCAATAAATATGATTACAATATCTGTTGATATACATGAATAAAGAATTAAAGAGAGATATAAATAATAACTTATTCTAAAACTACAAGGAAACATATTCAAGATATACTGAATAAGGAAAATATTATAATATTATAGACATACATGGAAACGTATTGGAGAAAAACATGGAAACATCGATAATATTTATAAGAACTTAGTAAAGATATATGTAAACATATTTGAAATTTACATATGATATATATATATATATATATATATATATATATATATATATATATATATATATATATATATATATATATATATATAATATATATATATATATATGGAAATGTACGTCGAAACGTGGTAAAGATATACATGGAAATATACTGGAGATACACTGCGATTTGTAGTGAAGATATACAATAAAACGTAATAGAGATATACATGGAAACAAAGACATAGATGTAACACAAAATCGCCTCGCTTTGTAATCCCAAGACGCCGTGAGAGGAACAAAAGCCTGACGCTTATTGAATTTAATTAGCTTTTGTATTGGGGAACTTCGACTCTGGTTATATGTTACTGTATTTAAAATTTAGGAATATTTGCTAAAGGAAACTTCTTAAGACCTATTGTCCCTTACGAAGCTAGCTATATATATATATATATATATATATATATATATATATATATATATATATATATATATATATATATATATATATATATATATATATATCTCGGACGAACCTACGTCCGAGAACATACCAAACGCTGCCTTAATCGACTGTTTTACAACATGGTTAAAAGAATTGCAACCAGAATTCAATTTTGATTGCAATTTCAATTTAAGATTTGTTCATTGGTTAAGGCATTAAGTCAAACTCTGGATGGCGTAAAGACCTGGATGAGATCTGGTTCTGTGTTTTGGCGTGAAAGCTAAGTGATTATTCTGTATATTTAAAGTGGATCTATTTTTCTGATGCTTCCAGGATTTTCAATCTTCTTTAGTCTGTTTTAGATTCCAGGATTTTTATATTATCTACGAACATGTTCCGTGTCAGTATCGTGTTTTGCTCCCTTTGCATATGGTTTCTAGGGGCAGCAGCTTGCATGTGGCAGGTCAATGCTATGTAGGATTGTAGGTAGCAATGCTTCTCGAAAGCATTGTGGTGGTCATACCAGTATCGTTAGATTGAAAGCGACATTCTTCAGTTTCTGTATACTGTAAATTGGTATTCCACTTTCCATTTTTTGGAGAGGGTTGTACTGTTCATTGGGGGGCTGTTCTTGAGTATTATATCAACATTCCTTTTTGTTTGGTAGTAAATAATGAAATCTAATCTTTGGTCTGGGGGCAGTTAGTGTCACTCCATTTAAAATTGTATTTTAATTCTTTCTTCTGTTTCATATTGTGAGCACATAGTGGCTTTGTAACAGTTTTATGAGAAGGGTTGTTTTCTTGTGTTGTTCTGTGTTGTACCATTTTCCTAAATATCTTCTGATATGGGTGTTGACTTCTCTAATGGTGTATCAGTTGTTTATTAATACTTGAAGGCTTTTGTACAATTCTTTATGTATGTTACGCCAGTCTGAACAATGTGTAACGACTCTGCGTGTGTATATGTCAACCACACTAGTGGTTGACCAGACCACACACTAGAAGGTGAAGGGACGATGACGTTTCGGTCCGTCCTGGACCATTCTCAAGTCGATGACCATTCTCCTTGACCTGGACCATTCTCATCGACTTGAGAATGGTCCAGGACGGACCGAAATGTCGTAGTCCCTTCACCTTCTAGTGTGTGGTCTGGTCAACATACTTTAGCCACGTTATTGTGACTCTTCGCCTACTTAACACACTAGTCTCATATCAATCTGGGCATTCACTGAGCCAAGGCTACACCTTCCAATGTTGTTGGGTTTGTATAGCCTTCTGTGGTTAAAGTGTTGACTTTGGTTCTTATGTAGACATGGAGGAAAAGGAGTGTACCATTGATGCCTAGTTCATGGGTTAGGAACTGAGTTTTAAGTAGATTTTCATACAAATGAATATATAATTGATGAGGTTCTGCT